AAATTAGTTGATATTACTCATATAATGAATTTGAGTTGCATTAATGGACAAATGATCAGGTTACTCTTATGAATAAATAGGTTATGTTACTCATATATATAAATAAGGATTATTCTTATTAATTAATGTGGCCACACCGTGTGGATAGCCACATACAAGACTTGCTCTTTTTCATTATGTGTGTGAGTGATTGTAAAAGTTTTCCTTTTAAGTTGGCTTACATGACAACTAAAGTGGCACGCCGAGAGGAGAGGTTTTTCACTCTAAACTTTTTGATGCATTTGATCCATCTATCCTCTAATAAAGAAATATACTACCCCCATTTAATATTATTTGCAACAAATATGTGAGTCATAAAAGAAAAATTTAGTTGCAAATAATAAGAAACGAATGTGGTAATAAATTACAAAATAGTTATCAAGTAAAGATGGACAATTAACGAAAAGTTTATTTTGTTAATGCAAGCAAGCCTAATAATAGGGGGACATGAAATTTGAAATAAGGTCCCGTTCACTTCACCTTATTTTTGCTAAACTAATATCATTTTTGTTGAAGTGAAATTATTTTTGTTGAACTTAAATTATTTTACTGAACTTAAATTAATTTTACCGAATTGAAATTATTTTTGCTGAACTGAAATTATTTTTACTGATTTTCTATTATAATTTTTCCTTACAGATACTGAATTTTACTAAACTGAACTTATTTTTACCAAATTGAAATTATTTTTACTAAACTCACTACTAGAAATGGGCCGATTTCCTCGGACAGTGCGACGGACATGTATTTCCGTCGAAAAATTCAGATATTTTCGACGAATTTTAAAAATCCGTAGGATATTTTTGACAGTAAAAATATCCATGAGAACTTTCTGACGGAATATTTCGGCGGAACTTTCCGACGGAATATTCCGTCGGAATATATTATATATAAAAAAAAACCCTCCTTCTCCCCTCATTCCTCCGCCTCTTCCTTCATATTTTCGCTTTCTCTCTCCTCTTCTTTCTCTTCTTTCTCTCTCCTCCTCCTCCTTCCTCGCCCTTTCTCCTTCCTCGCCCCTTTTCTCCTTCCTCTCCCCATCTCCTTTGTCTACGGTAAATTAATGGTTTTTTTGGTCAAATTGAAAAGTGTAGATCTAGACTTTTCATGGTCAAATTTGGCCTTAGTAAACCAAACTCGAACTCAATTCAAGTTTTAAGGTATGTTTTTGTGTTTGTATTTTTTCTTTTTTGGTACGAATTCGGTGAATTTTGAATTATAATTGTTTTGTTGGTATTTTTTTTTCGTTTTTCCGGGAGGGTTAGGGTTTTGGTTGGGTGGGGTGGTGGTGGCTGGTGGTGGCTGGTGGTTTGGTTAGGGTTAGGTGGGGGTGTTGAAATCGGTGCTTTGTTGGTCCTGCTGAGTTAAGGTGTTCGGTTTGGTTAAGGTTAGGTGGGGGGGGGGGGTTCGGTTTGTGGGTGTGGTGGTGGGTGGGGGTGGTCTGGCCGGGGGTGGTTTGGGGTTAGGTGGGGTGGGTGAAGTACGTGGGTGTGGTGGTGGCAGGGGTGGTCTGGGTGGGTGTGCTGGGTGGGTCGTCTGGGTGGGTGGATTTAGTTTAGGGTGGCTGGTGGGGGTGATGGGAGGTGTTTTTTTATTATTTTTTTACAGCAGTTTTCGATGGAATTTCCGTCGGAATTTTCCGATTCCGACGGACTTGTATACAGTCGGAATTTTCCGACGGACTTTCCGGTGGCCAGAATACCTTTTTCGATGACAAAAGTCCGTCGGAATTGACCGTTCCAACGGAATAAAGCGAAAACAAAATGTAATACGACGGTGCGTTCCGACGGAATTTCAGGATATTCCGACGAATAATTTCCGTCGTTGATTAGCTGTTTTCTAGTAGTGACTGAACTTATATTATTTGTACTGAAATGAAATTATTTTTACTTAATAATTTTTTTGTAAGATAAAGTGAACATGACCTTAATAAAGAATGACTATTACATCATATTTGTCATCGAATTTCAAATTAATATTATATTAGGGGAAATACTAATAGGATTACTCAACTTGAATTTAAAGCAACACAAAGTATTTGAAAGTTCTAAAATTTGATCAAAATAAAATCAAAATTGATCACTAATTTCATAGAACTGTCATTTTTAAAAAGGAAAATTATTGTAGAAACTAGCTACTCCTAATTAGTTAATCTTTTCTATATACAACCTTGCAAATAAAAAATAAAATATAAATTAAAAAAAGGCAATATACCTTTTTTTGTATGGCTTTCTGGTTGGAAAAACTCTCACCGTAATCTAATACGTTGACTAATCTTTCAAGAGTTAACTTTGGATTCCTTTGTTTTTCTTCTCTTTCTTCATTGATTAAATCAAGCCTAAATAAAAGCCCAAAGCTCAAACTCATAAAGCAAATAAGCATGTTCCTAAGCTCACCTATGTAACCCAGCAATTTCTCACCTCTTTCTTCTAGGGTTTTAGTTTTCTTGGCCGTTTAGGTCAGAAATAGTCTAATTTCTTTCAAAATTGTCTATTTTCGACCTTTTTTCTTTAATTCTATTTAGTTTTTTTTGCTTTGATTTGTTTTGTTCTCTCCATTTGTGATAGTCTGTTCCAATTTTCTGGGTTTTTCCCAATTCTTTGGGATTTTGATTCTCATCCATGGATGGGAATTTTATTTTTAGGGTTTTTATAATAATCGGGAAGGTGATTTGATTCCTATGGATCTGGGGTTTGTCATCAATTTTTTGATCAAAGCATTAGCGCTGATTGCGAAGGTCTCTATTTGGAAAGATGCAAAAACATCGAAAATCATTGCTCGCGTCAAGCTTGAAGCGATGGGGTATGAGCTATGCATGCCAAATATGCAAATTAGTTATGAATTTGATTGTAAAAGTTATGGTATTTTCTCTAAATCTGTGGTTTACATATCTATATTATTGTAGATGTCGTATGACTATTATTTAAGATATTATTACTTCCCGTTCAACAAAAAAAAAAAAAAAATGTAACCAAGCAATTTCAAAAGTTTGTTTGAGTTGAGGTTAGCTCAATATAGTAGTAGATCAAAACTTGACTCAAATAGGTCGTTTGCTGCCCTATTTTTAATAGTTAGTAGTGAGCCAATATAATCTGGGTGATCTGACTATAATTATTAGAATTATGGTCTTTTGAGTCTTTCTTTTCACATGTAAAACGGTCGGAAATACTTTAGCTCACTTAGTGACTGTTCGACATCGAAATTTTGTTAATATTTAGGTGTTAAATATATTTAAATTAGGAGATAATATCAAAAAATATAAAATATTATCTTCAAGATCTTGTAGAATATTTGATAGCTATCTTGTTTAATAGTCTACGACATTCTATATAAAAAGGGTTGTTTTTAAGGTTTAAGGGAGGCTCAGATGGAATAAGCCAAAAAGAGTCCATCTCCTCCCTACTACCAAACATTATAGGTCCATAGTATGGAATAAGCCGACAAGGTCCCCTACTACAAACAAATATCAAAACCCTAACCCTTTGGAGGGAGGAATCAAGAGATCTACGAGATTGACAAATTATCAATGAAATAATTGTTTCCGTACAATTTTTCTACCTCTTAATTTGTATATTGCAGGTTTAAATTTTTACGGTTTACAAATTGGCACGCCCAGTGGGACAATTTTCGCTCTTCATCTCCGCTCTCCAAATTTCAAAATCCGTAGATTTAATGGAGACATGCTAAATTTGGTTTCAAATTCTACAAGAAAATTTCGAGACTAAGTTGCATCCGATGTCAAATCTCCACAACAGGTCTCGAGGGGGCATTTGTTGACACCGAAATTTTGTTAATATTTAGGTGTTAAATATATGTAAATTAGGAGATAATATCAATAAATATAAAATATTATCTTTAAGATCTCATAGAATATTTGATAGATATCTTATTAACTACTCTACGACACTCTATATAAAGAGGGTTGTTTATAGGGTTTAAGGGAGGCTCAGATGGAATAAGTCAAAAAGACCCCATCTCCTCCCTACTACCAAACATTTTAGGTCCATATTATGGAATAAGCCGACAAGGCCCCGTACTACAAACAAATATCAAAACCCTAGACCTTTGGAGAGAGAAATCAAGAGATCTACAAGAGTTGTAAGTTTGTAACCCACAAATTAAATTATCAATGAAATAATTGTTCCCATATATTTTTCTACCTCTTTATTTGTATATTACAGGTTTAAATTTTTATGGTTTACAAATTGGCACGCCCAGTTTACAAATAAAGTATGTATATTGTGGTTCGTTTTCCAAAACTCCTTGTATCCTGTAAAAAAAAGACACTCCTCGTATCGACTCTCAAATGATTCTCAAGATATCTTTTCATTAAATTTATTAGAGGCACAACAATTATATTTGCCAAACATACCACAATCACATTAGAAGTTCTTATGAGAGTGAGGGATAATTCAAGCGATTAGAGCTTCTTCTGATTTCAGGGGATTTTGAGATCGATTCTCATCATTCGCCCTTTACTTTCTGATTTCAGGGAATTTTGGGATCGATTTTCATTATTCACCCTTGAAGCTCTCTAAACAACAAAAAAAAACGTTACCCGTTGTTACTCCGTCAGTGTTTTAATAAAAGTTACACATCTTTTTTTTTTGGCAAAAACTTCATTTTAATATTATATCTTTCTCTTTCATGGTCCCCATCCGAACCCACTACTTATTTTTGTTATTATTTCTTTCCCCTCACATTTATTACTTTATAATAAATTATTAATCCCACTATTTTTTTTTTACAATTTTTTATACTCCAACTATCCCAATGGTCTCTTATTTTATCTTATAAAGACAATTTTTTTTTCTTGCAATAATAATTAAAATTAAGAAATCCCCTACAATAGATCCTTTGGCAAACACGTGGCAACAAAGCAAAGTTGCGGCTCTAATTCGATTTGGGGCATTCGTGGAGCATTTTGTGTGCCACAAAACAGAGAACCCAAATGCTGCCAATATACGTTATCTCTGATTTTCTCATAACTTGATAATTTGTTTTATTAGAAAAAAAAAAAACAAAAAGCTTGCTAAAATTTGCTTGTTCACTCAATCTTCTTCTTCTTTGGATGGGCTAAATTATCCTCTGTAATTCCATTGAGAAAGAGAGAGAATTTCGAAAACCCAGAATTTTATCTCAAAATTCATCCTTTTTCTCTCTCCTTTACAATGGATTTCACTACTAAGCTTCACCACCGTTCATCTTTTCTTACTGGTTCATCTTCAACCTTATTAGATGCTCGCAAATCCTCCATTTTACAGCTTCCTTCACCATTTGCCACCATTAAAGCTTCAAACTTTAGCAACAATTCTCTGAAAACTTCAAAACCCAGTTCACAGTCAAACCCTAGGCTTAAGCTCTCTCAAATTTCGTCAAAATTATCTGCCCTAGCTGTTGAATCAACGGACACAAATACGCAGAACAGGGATGAAATTGAAGCCCTTTTTAGTAAAGATTCTACTGATGAATTTGATAGAAAAAGGGGAAATAATAGACAATCAAATTCTGGGGCTTCAAGTGTTTCATCTGGGGTTAGGTTAGAGAACATTAGTAAGAGTTATAAAGGTGTTACAGTGCTGAAAAATGTGAGTTGGGAAGTGAAGAAAGGGGAGAAAGTAGGGTTGGTTGGGGTAAATGGGGCAGGAAAAACTACCCAATTGAGGATTATTGCTGGGTTGGAAGAACCTGATGGTGGGAATGTGATTAAGGCTAAGAATAATATGAAGATTTCATTTTTGAGTCAAGAATTCGAGGTTTCGATGAGTAAGACTGTGAAGGAGGAGTTTATGAGCGCGTTTAAGGAGGAGATGGAGGTTGCAGAGAAGATTGAGAAGGTGCAAAAGGCAATTGAGGGGTCTGTTGATGATTTGGAATTGATGGGAAGGTTGTTGGATGAGCTTGATTTATTGCAGAATAGGGCACAGGCTGTAGACTTAGATCAGGTGAATTCTAAGATCAATAAGTTGATGCCTGACCTGGGGTTTTCGCCCGAGGATTCGGATAGGTTAGTGGCTTCTTTTAGTGGTGGATGGCAGATGAGAATGTCACTTGGGAAGATTTTGCTTCAGGTTTGTTAATTTCTATATGTTAATTTTAAAGTTGTTGAGATTATGCTGACAAATTGTAATCTTACTATTGTTGGATGCATAGTTTATAAACATATAAGTATTTGTTTACTTTATTATAATGTTTGTTTGTTTTAAGATAGATACATTATTGTTAAACAAGATCATGTAATGGAATTAGAAAGAAGTTTCTTCTGTTGTTGGTGGGAATAAGTATGTGATATGCATAGGTTCTGGAATTAATGCATGAAAATTATAGACATCGGCCCAAATTATGCTTATTATTAAAGCATCTTATTGGAGGAAATTTTTTTTGTATTATACTTCTAGCATTTGGTAGTTACCTTGATATGATTATAACAAAAAGGAAAAAAAAAACCATTTCTTCTTATTCATGGTGTAAAGGTGATTTCTTATAGCTTTATGTTTGAATCATTGCAGGATCCAGATTTGTTGCTATTGGATGAGCCTACTAATCACCTTGATCTTGACACCATTGAGTGGTTTGAGAGATATCTTAACCAGTTGGACGTGCCGATGATTATCATATCTCATGATAGAGCTTTCCTTGACCAGCTTTGTACCAAAATTGTGGAAACAGAAATGGGTGTTTCTAGGACATTTATAGGAAACTATTCTGACTATGTTATTTCAAAGGCAGCTTGGATTGAAGCTCAGTTTGCTGCATGGGAGAAGCAGCAGAAGGAAATTGAGCAAACAAGGGACATAATTAACCGAGTTGGTGCTGGCGTAAGTGCTGGGAGAGGATCTACTGCAGAGAAGGTACAATGTAAATATATAATATTTTGTTATACTTTCTAAGTTTTTGTGAATTGGGGAACTTTGATGTTCAATTGGTCAAAAGCAGAGAATTTAAGAATTGTGTAACCAACTAACCATATTAAATTGTTATTGTGATTCTATATATCATCAGTTTTGATGGTACTAATGGATCATTCTGCAGTTTGAGGCTTTGAATCCATTGCCAATTTTTAAAATCTTATATCTAATGAAGTGGAATGCAAAGTCATTCGTCTCACCATTTGACTGTAATACCATGAAAATTGCTTACATGGCTGATATTTGAAAAATGCTTGTTCATTGAGTCTAAAATTTTAAACCTCATGGTGAACACGGTGGAATCCTTAAAGCCAATTCCTACTTGTTGAGTATCTTGGTCTGTGTAAATGCATATTATGATGCTGCTGCACAAGTTTCATTTATGTATGTTCTTACTGGCTTGGTGTCTGAAGGTTGAATCTGATTCTGCAACTGTTGAGTGTATACCTTTTCACTTTTATGGGAATAACCTGAATTGACAATACAAAGCTTTCTTAAGTCCTTGTGGCATTTGTTTCTACGTTGTTACAAGTCAAATGCTGTATGCTTAGCTTCCTACAAATACTCTTCATGCAGTTACATGCTTAGATTTATAGATGCTGCAATTTTCATTCCAAAATGCTTGATTCATGATGTATCTGCTATATTCTATTGTAACAGAAATTAGAAAAGCTTCAAGATGAGGATCAAGTTGAGAAGCCTTTCATAAGGAAGCAAATGAAGATTGTATTTCCTGAACCCGAGCGAAGGAGCGGGAAGTTGGTCTTGACAATAAATAACCTGCAATTTGGTTATGGCGATAATGTGAGAAAACTCCCTACCCTCTTATGCGCTATTTGTAGCTCAAAAGTTTTTTTTTTTTTTTTACTGGGTTAGGGAGGATAGGGAAAAAGGTATTCTCGCCTCATGATTGAACTATCAGATTCCTAGTTCCTAATACACATGCACATTTCAGGTATTATTTCGCAACGCAAATCTTACAATTCAGCGAGGGGAAAAAATTGCTATAATTGGTCCCAATGGTTGTGGGAAAAGCACTTTGTTAAAATTAATTATGGGTTTGGAGAAACCTACTGCTGGTGAAGTTATATTAGGGGAGCACAATGTCATCCCTAATTATTTTGAGCAGAATCAGGTATTTTTACCACTGACAGGACCTAGTTTAAGAATTCCTCTCTTGTGCATTTAGGTTTTAGTCCTTTTAGCACTATGAAAGATATGTTTCATGATGTGTTAGCTAAGCTGAGATTGGCTTAACTTGTTGCCAGGCTGAAGCACTGGATTTGAATAAAACAGTGCTGCAGACAGTGGATGAAGTTGCAGAGGATAAGGAACTCGATGAAATAAAAGGTCTTTTAGGGCGTCTAAATTTTAAGTCTGATATGCTTGATAGGAAGGTCTCCCTTCTGAGTGGTGGAGAGAAGGTAGTATTGTCAAAATAATAAATGTTTTGTCCTCGGCTCTGCCTGAGTGTTTTACTCAATCTCTTCCAATGTTTCTGGAAGGCTTACCACATCATTTTCTGCTTCTCCAGGCTCGCTTGGCGTTCTGTAAATTCATGGTGAAAAAGTCAACTTTACTGGTTCTCGATGAACCTACCAATCACTTAGATATACCTACGAAGGAGATGCTTGAGGTTAGCAATCTTTTTCATGTTTAAAACTCTTATAATAGTAGTATTCTTTGTATAAGCAGTTATTAATTCTTAGTTTTATTGCTTTCCAGGAAGCTATACAAGAATATGAAGGCACTGTCATTACAGTTTCCCATGATCGGTATTTTGTTCGTCAAATAGTTAACAGAGTGATTGAGGTGAAGGATGGATATCTACAAGATTATGTTGGGGACTACAATGTAAGTCTTCCTTCACCTTGTATGATTCTGGTTCTTTTTAGTTGGCTTCAATTTTGGTTAATTTTGTGTTGTTCAATTCTTTTATTTTGGTAAATGTACCTAGGCTCATTTTAGCCAAGGCAGATCTATATGATCGGTTTGACTGGTGAATTACCTATGGAATTTGCTTTCCTTTTCTAAGATTATATACTGGGTACTCGTACTTTTACCTTAGATACTAAACTCATAAAGACAAAAGAAACGATATACCAATTGGTCTCTGCAAATTGTTTTTTTTGAATTTTTCTACCTGTTAAATAACAAATGCACTATGTTATAGTGCTATACCAACATTTGAAATGTGGACACTGTTAGGGTTCGATACACTTGGCCTTTTGGCTTAGTGCCAATTTCTGCTGTGTTAAATGTATTTGCTGGTTGTTTATTGTTCAATCTTGTTGTGTAAACATTTTGCATGAAAATATTGGCATTATTCTCTAAACTCATGACCCCTGGACTCTCTCACAATATTGTGCGTTACGCTTAGTACTGCTGTCTGGTGTACATCTATAGACTACAGCTGCATGCATATGAAAATAGAGAAAGTATGAACGGCTGGCTAACCAAAATTTTAATCCTTTTGCCCATACGAAGGAATGAGAAGGGGAAACTGTGAAATTGAGGGCACTGGAGCCTTTTACATGGTGTTTTAAATGTCGATGTTGTAGAACTAACTATTTCAGAGATTTGTAAGGCTTCTAAGAATATATTTGATGGCATATGCAGTATTATTTAGAGAAGAATCTCGATGCAAGACAAAGAGAATTGGATCGTGAGGCAGAGCTTGAAGAGAAGAATTCCAAAGTAAAAGCAAAATCAAAGATGTCCAAGGTAGTTTTAAGCTGGTGATTAACATAGTATGTCTTAAATTATTTTCCTTTACCAGAGACTGACATCCGTTTAACAGGCTGAGAAGGAGGCTCGGAAGAAACAGAAAATGTTGGCTTTTCAGCAGGCAAAAGCTAAAGCAAAATCTAAGGGGTTAAAGAACGCGAAGAGATGGAATTGAGATGGTATCATCAGTATTTTTAATGAAGATACCCTCATTGTGATCACTCTCTTTGTTAAGGGATTTCAAAAAGGCTGTCAATCTTGATCGTGTACATAGCTTCAAGTTGATGGTATATATGGTCCTAGGGGTCTTTGTTTTGTGATTCGAAAATGGGAATATATATAACGAAGCGTAATTTCAGTTTTCTGCATACTTAGTTTAGAACTTGAGCAAACAATCTATAGATTTTGTAAATAGCAATTTGATAGCCTCTTAATTATGTGTTCTTTTTGGATCCCTCCTTACACTCAAACAAACATGTGGGTGCTGTCTTTAATACCATTGTTTATGTTGTTGAAATGCTTTGATTTGAAGAGCCTATTCAAAGCAGATGAAAATAATAAACTAATGAGCTTCTCGTTTGATACATTGTTTATTTAATTTTTACTTTTTTTTGGGTCATTCAAACAATTTATAGGATTTGCTTCTATCTCATTTATTTATGTTTTAGATGAAAAACTTCTGTCTTATTTTTTTGCTGGTTATTTGAAACTTTTAAGGTCGGTTGTCAAGGTTTCGACATGCAATTGTTTGAGCACTTTTGTCCCATAATATTATCTAAGACATACTCCCTCCGCCCGTATTATCAGCAACATTTACTAAAAATGGATGCTCTCTATTATCTGCAACAATTTTTTTTATTTCCTCTTTTAGTAAATTTTTAATAGCAAATTGACCACCTTACCCTTACTTATATTTTTTTTTTAACTTTGTTTACATTCTTTTAATTACACTCAATTACCAACTAATTACCACCTTACCACAGCCACCTTCGCCGCCCCTACCACCACGAACCCAGAGCACCATCACCACCTTCGTCGCCCATACCACCAGCCCAGACGAGCCCAGAGCACCAGCACCACCTTCGTCGCCCCTACCACCAGCCCAGATGAGCCCAGAGCACCCAGCACCACCGCGCAATTCTCCGACCATCCCCTACCCCTTTCCGTCGCTACTGTTGTTGCTAAACTCGTGGGTTTTGGTGTGGTGGATTTCGATTCCAGATCTGGAAATCAGTGGTTTGGTTTGTGGGGTGGTGGGTTTTGGTGGTGGTTTCGGTGGTTTCGTGGGGGTTGCGTAAGTGGGGTGGGTGTTGGGGGTTCGTGGGGTGGCGGTTTCCGTGGTTTGGTTTGTGGGGTGGTGGGTTTTGGTGGTGGTTTCGGTGGTTTCGTGGGGGTTGTGTAAGTGGGGTTGGGTGTTGGGGGTTTGTGGGGTGGCGGTTTCGGTGGTTTGGTTTGTGCGATGGTGGGTTGTGGTTTCGGTGGTTCGTGGGGTGGTGCGGTGGTTCGTGGGTTGGGTGTTGGTGGTTCGTGGGTGGTGCGGTGGTTCGTGGGGTGGTTGTTCTCCAATGTTTAATTGTGTGTTTTATTTTAATTTGGTTTAACTATCCCTTCTCTCTCCTCTTACTTTTCATTAATTTTGCTTAAAAAGTTTTGCCTAGGAGTCCGCAAAACTGTCCTTTGGTGCAGATAATAGCGGGCGGAGGGAGTACTAAATGTACACACTTGTCAACACGTCATAATATTATAAAATCTTAATATTATGTACTGTAAACTAATTTATTAGATAGGATTAAACCTGATTAGCCCTACGCCCTTCAAAAAAAGAAAGTCTGATTAGCTGTTTACACTTGATCAACCTTGCTTATTTTTCTCAAGAGAATAGAATGCATCTTTAATTTATTTTTATTTATTTTATTTTATTATTATTTTTTTATATGGTAAACTAGGGGGAGGGGCCCTTAACCTATCATAGGAAAGGGGGCTATGAGGAATTGAACCCACATCACATGGGGGCCGGGGAGATGGAGTGACTTGCATTCTTAGAATGCAACAGTGCAATTTTCTAAAGGCCAAAATATTTGGATAATTGACCAAACTAAGCTTAATTACATAACAGGTTTTTAAAATAGACTCGTGGTCAAACTATTTATCAGACTAAGCTTCCAGGGTAAAACACTGTCTCCGACAGTGTTTTATACCCTGCTTTTTTTTTTAAAAAACAAAATTCAATCTGTAAAACGCTGTGTGGGATAGCGTTTTACATGTTGACTTAATTTTTTTAAAATTTCGTAATTTCTGATTTTTAAAATTTAAAAAAAATAAAATAAAATTTAAACACATATAACGCTGACTGAGGCAGCGTTTTTAGTGTATTTGATTTTTTAATGAAACGCTGCCTCAGTCAGCGTTTCTAGGGCTGATACAGTTTCAAATCAGGGCGAGCTTCTCTCTTTCTCACTCAAATTCACTTACTTCAATCCTCTCACTCAATCTCTCTCTTACTCAACGTAACCCCCCTTTCCTTTTGACAGCCACCCAGATCGCCGTCCCCCTCCGCCGACTGCCCGCCGACGACAGCCCCGACAACCCTTGACGCCGCTGCTTGCCTCACTTCTTGTCGAATTTGGTACTTTCCCCCTCTCTCTTTTTGGTTTTTAAAATCTAGGTTAGTTTGATAATGGTTGATATTTTTTGTGAATTGTGGTTATAATGTTGATAATGTTGAATTGTTAGTGTTGATAATGTTGAATTGTTAGTACTGATAATTGTTGATAATGTTGATAATGGTTGATAATTTTTAGTTTTTGAGTAATTGTTATAACTACATTGTTGTTTATAATGGTGATCTAGTGCTTCTAAGTTGTTGTAATTTGAAAAGTATGTCTACATTATTGTTTAATCATGGTGATTTAGTGCTTCTAAGTTGTTGTAATTTGGAAAGTATGTCTACATTGTTGTTTAATTATGGTGATTTAGTGCTTCTAAGTTGTAATTTGAAAAGTATGTCTACATTGTTGTTTAATTATGATGATTTAGTGCCTTTAAGTAAAATGTGTTTTGGTTATTATGTAGAATATGGTTGCACAAAATGTAGTTTTATCATGCCGGTGGGGAGGTAAAATTTTGTTTGATGGACCAAATATCGAGTATAATATAGTGGTGGAAATATGGAACTAGACCTGATCAAACGTTGGGCCGGGCTGCTGATTTTTTCTGCCCAAATTGTTGGGCCGGGCTGGCCAGGATTCGGGCCAGAATGTTGCTGCCCAAACCCGTCCCAGTCGGGCGTACCGGGCCATTTCGGGCTGCTTGTCTAAAGTCTTCAATTTTAATTATTTTTTGTAATTTAAAGTTTGTTAGTGCATAAAAATTCGAAATTTGCACTAAAATTCAAAATTTAACATCAACATAAACAGAATACTAGATATATCTAACCGAAAATTAAAAAAATAATAGTAACAAAAAAACCCAAATAGATGAATACATTAATACCATATTAAACCATGAATAATTCGAATTTTGAAAAAAAAAACAATTTATTATTGTAATTACCTGATAAATATCCATTTGCAATTATCTGATTATCATTTAATTCGAAAAAAAAAGCATTGATGGAGTGATGGAGATCCACAGTTACAATTCGAAACTTGAGAAGGAGAGTAAGAAGAGGGAGGGAGTGACGAGATGTTGGCGGTGTTGATGGCGGCGTTGGTGACGGTGTTGCTGTTGATGTCGGTTGTTGTTGATGGCGGTGGTGGTGTGAGAAAGATGGGAAAGAAGAGGAGAGAAGAAGAGGGGAAAGAAGGGCTAGCAGATCTAGAAGAAAGAGGGGAACGAAGAGGAGGGGGAAAGAGAAGAGGGGAGAGAAAGAGAAGAAGGGGAAGAGAACAGGGGAGAGAAAGATACGGGATTGGGAAAGTGACGGCTATGTGAATGAAAGAAATGAAAAAATTTGGGAGGGCTATCTTTTTGCCATGTCAGAATTAGGGCTATCTTTCTAGGCCGGGCCATCCCGCGGGTCAGACCTGCTGCCCAAACCCGTCCTGAAATTTTTCTGGCCTGTTTTCGGACCTGATCAAAAATTCTGCCCAAACCCGGGCAAATTCCGGGCCAGGCCGGGCTGACGGGCCGGGCCATACTTGATCAGGTCTATATGGAACCACTAACACTTGAACCAAACATGATTTTCAATGATTTGATGAACGAGGTTCATAGTAGTATTGGTTCAAACCCAATGAATGTTCAACTAAACATTGAAATGAGGTTTGAGACTGTCAATGGGGTTCAAGTGTTACCTGTTTCTACGGATAAACATTTGAAATCTTTAAGGAGCGTCGTTGCGATGAAGGGTGTTCCCACTGAGATATATGTAGAAATGGTGCCTATATGTACCTAACAAAGTACTCGACCAGAACAACAAGCTACATATATTTCCGGTTACAACACAGAATCCTTGCAAATGCCCTCCCACGACATTCCATCAAATGAATATGGGATAGGATCTTTCAGTAGAATGCTGCACGATGATCAATTTCACATGCCGTTTAGTTCTCATATAGCTTCACCTATACATGGGGGGGCATCTGTGACAATGTTCGGCCAGCCTGGTCCTTCGACATCAAACATCGTCATACCTTCATCGATGCAATTCCATAGTTATTCACCTATGCAAGATGATGTTCAAGCATAACCGTCTCATCCTATGCTAAATCATCTTGAAAATCTTGAAAATATTGTGAATAACGAATTGTCTGTGTATGATGTGTATGCAGAAACAAATGATGAGGCCGAGAGCGGAGAGGAGGAAGATGGAGTTGAGAACATGGATGTTGAACCTGCACACATGGAAGTTGGTGAGGCCATGGTTAGAACTCCCATACCTTGGTTCAGTCAAATCAACGAGAACTATGAAGTTGATCAATATTGGGTCGAATCGGGTAGCCATACATCGTTTGTTCCCGGGGGAGAATTTGAGAAGGGCTTGTTTTTTGAAAGTAAGAAAATGCTTCAAGAAATGGTGAAGATGTATTCTATACAGAGGAATCAATTCTACACCAAAGTGACCTCGAATGAGAATGTCCTTCATCTGCGGTGCAAGAAGAAATTTGCAAGAAAGATCCGTCCTTGAAAGTTGAATTCATACAGGATCTCATCTCTAAGCAATTTAATTTCAAAGTTCCGTATCGAAGAGCATGGTATGCCAAGGAGAAAGCTATAGCTGAAATATTTGGGGATTGGGAGAGTTCTTACGGCAGACTTCCGCACTTCATGCAAGCTCTGGTGGATGGTTTTTACTACAGCAACATGGAAGTGTTTGAACAAGTGTTTTGGGCCTTCGGTCCTTGTATCGATGGTTATAGACATTGTATGCCTGTTGTCTGTATCGATGAGAGTACGGGAAGTATAAAGGAACACTGTTGGTTGCTACAAGTGTGGACGGACAAGATAGGACACCCGGACTTGTTGACCCTTCTGTCCTGACACTACAGGACAAACATCGGAGCGTTGACATATGGATCGGTCATTAATATATCATCTGTCAGTTCATGTACTTGTATGCATGTTAAATTGATATAGTATCTAATATTATTTACGGTCGTACGATTATTTAACAGGTTGATACAGCGAGGATGTTGGTTTGCAGGTACTACATTACCAGGGTTATGGGTGACTGGGTTGTCGATCCACGCGTTATTCAGTACGTCGAGTTGGCTAGCTTTGGGGGTATTCATCGGATGGCGTTCAGAGAGATCGATCGAGCGCTTGTCACTGCGCTCACGGAGAGATGGAGACAGGAGACGCACTCCTTCCATCTACCTGTTGAGGAGGCGACCGTTACGTTGCGGGACGTGGCGATACTCACGCGCCTTCCTATACACGGGACTGCGGTGACAGGACTCGCGTTAGTTAATCCCCGTGGTTTGGTAGCTCGGGTTCTCGGGGTTCATCCAGGTCCCGACGACGCCAGCTTGTCCCCCAGCAGTGTGACACTACTATCCGCTTGCACGACATTGACTGTCGGGGAAAGGGGGAGACAAATTGGTCACTGGAGCATGGGCGTTACATTGACCTATGGCAGCGGCGATTGAGGTTCGTCATCGCCGTTGATCCGATCCAGGGCGTTATGGATCCTCACGATCCATACATGGCTTGATACAGGCGGATTACACGGTGTTTCAACCCCAGCTACACGCCACCATCTTCACATTACCATCCAGCCTTTGACGTCATTAGCGGATATGTGAGTTTATTTAATTTACTTATTTTCATCAATTTTAAAATTTCTATATACAACTGACTGATCGATGATTATTGTAGGCGGTGGATATGGTGGCAGTGGTTGATGCACTATTAGACGCTTTTGTAGACGGACCCACCAGAGCCCAGGTCGAGCGGGTGCGAGATATGGGCGTGGCTACCTTGCAGAGATATGGTCACGGTTATCTCATCCAACCGCGAGACAGTCATGGAGGCCACTCCGTCCATTCACAGTTCAAGTTCGGCCAGAGTAGCGGTGGAGGTGTTCCTACGTCACCCAGAGTCGCAGAGGATTACATCATCCACAGTTCTGTGCCCACCCCTACTTTGGAGAACCCATCGTCCAGCCAGTAGACTCTGCCACCTCCCCCAGACCCATTTACCACCATTACTCATTACAGGCGGGGTCGTGTTAGACAGAGGGACGACAGATAGGATAGAGAACTGTTACCCCGATAAATGAGTCAGGATAGTATTATATGATTTATTTGTTGTAATCGGATTTCCTAGTCTGTTGTATATAACACTTACATTATTAATATAATAAATGTTTTTTGAATGAATCTGTGTGTGGTTTGAAGTTTAATTTCCTTATTTGTCCAAATCGGATTTATGTCAGTCAAAATAGATCATTCTAGGCCGATATATATCAAACTCAAAACATTTGGGCTCCATAATGAGAAACGAGGTAAAAGCGATGGACGATCGTGGTTAATGTGGTGGTTCATGGTGGTTGTAGTGATGTTAGGGGTGGTTGGAGTGGTTTGAAGTGGCTAAGGGTGGGCGAAAGTGGCGGGAGGTGGTGGAGAGATTGTCGGGGATCGTGAATGGCGGTGGGGATGGTGGTTGAGGTTAGGGTTGGTGGTGGGGGTGGTGTTGAAGGGTGGTGGCTGAATGAGGGCTAGGGGTGGTGGGTTGGGGGCTGAATTTGGAGTGAGGAGGCTGTTGGCTGCTGCAGTCAAGCAGAAAAAACGCTGTTTAGGACAGCGTTTTATGTACAATTTTTTTCCCAACATTAAGTACATAAACCGCTGCCTGGGACAGCATTTTATGTGTTTAATTTTTTTTCTAAATTTTAAAAATCAGAAATTACGAAATTTCAAAAAAAAAAAGTTAACATGTAAAACGCTGTCCCACATTAATTTTTTTTTTTTAAAAAAACCATGGTATAAAACGCTGAAAGCTTACTCCAACACACTCCGGTAATCCACACTTAACCTTCGTAAGGACTAAAGAAGCTTTTCTTCTTCATAATTGTTTCCAGAATTACAGAGTATACATGAACATGATCAGGTCTATATCTGTTAATGTTGGAGAAGCTTTTCTTCGTCCTTGTTTTCATGGCGCCACTTTAATCAAGCTTTGTCCTCTTCATTTTCATGGCAGATCCTCAAGTAAGCTTCTCCATTTCTCTACTACTTTTCCCTTTTTCGATTTCACTCTTCCCCTTTTGCCCTCTTTTCACCTTTCTTTACTGTTTCCTTCCCGAAATTACACCAATTACGCTACTCAAGATTTTGATTCTGATTTTGATGACCCCAAATTATTTCTGAAATTTGTTAGACAACAATCCAAATTAGGGTTTACTAATGTTGAAATCCCCCTTTCCCTCTTTCACCGTATGAAATCGATGCGCCCAATTCCTGGTATGATTGATTTCAATATGCTTTTTTCAGCCATGTGTAAGATTAAACCCCACCCCCCATTCTCCACTGTCATTTCTCTCTACAGGCACCTCCTTGGATTTCGTTCTCTCACTATCAGTTGAAAAAGTAGAAGCTATTTTATCCAATTATTTTTATAGATAGATTTCCTTTCATTTAATGAAATGAAAAAAGCAGTCTTCTTTACATAAGACGAAGGAAGACAAAATTGGAATTCTAATCAGTCATTTTTGATGTTTGTGAGAACCATTTAAATCATGATTTAAATGGTTCTCACCTGTTTCTAAGAAACTTGCTTATGACTTGTACTATAATCTGTATTCATAAGGCCCTTTCTTCCATTTAATTAAGCGTTAATGTAAATGAGCCATAACTATGTAGCCCTATTCCTAATAGATTAACCCCAAAATAGCATATCCAAATTATAAGAAAGCCTATAAAAGCCACAATTGCAGAATTTGCACCTCGAAAATTTTTATTTGTTCGAATATGTAAATAAATTGCAAATATGGTCCAAGTAATAAATGCCCAAGTTTCCTTTGGGTCCCAATTCCAATATGATCCCCATGCCTCATTGGCCCATACTGCTCCTGAAAGAATACCTATGGTTAAAAAGATAAATCCTAGACTAATAACACGATAACTCCAATGATCCTTTTGTCTGCTCTCCGTCCTGATATTTATTCTCTTAACATTCTCGCTAATTGCTACTGTCTTTTGGACTTTGTTGATTTGGGGTTTTCTGTTCTCGCCAACATTATTAAGCTTGGTTTTCAGCCTGATATTGTCACCTTTACTACTCTCATCAATGGCTTCATTCACTCTAATCAATTTCAGAAAGCCGTTCCATTGTTGGATAAAATTGTCAAGCTTGGCTTCCAACCTGATATGGTCACCTATGGTTCTATGTTCAAAGGTCTCTGTAGGTCTGGTGATAATGCCGGTGCTCTCAAACTCCTCAGACATATGGAGTCTTATGGCCATTGTATGCCTAATGTTGTCATTTATAACACCATCATTGATAGTCTCTGTAAAGACCAATTATTACCTCAGTCTCTCCTCCTTTTCAAGGAGATGAAAGTCAAGGGAATATCCCCTAATGTTGTCACCTATAATACCTTAATTCGAGGTATGTTAACTTTGGGACAACAGAAAGAGGCTCAAGGAATGGTGACTGAGATGTTGAGGAACAACATAACTCCTGATGTTGACACCTACAACACATTGATTGACATGTATTGTAAAGAAGGCAAGGTTGGTGAAGCACGGGACATTTTTGTTCACATGACTGAGAGAGGATTTGTTCCCGATATCATCACTTACAATACTTTGTTAGACGGATATTGTTTACATGGTGAGATGAATGAGGCAGAAAAGCTCATGGATTTGATGGTAGAAGATGGTTGCAAACATGATGTTTTTACTTTCAGCATCTTAATCAATGGCTATTGTAAGGGAGGAATGGTTATTGAAGCACGGGCCATATTTGAATCCATGATAAGTCAAGGTCAGATTCCCAATATCATCACTTACAATGCTCTGTTAGATGGATATTGTTTACGTGGTGAGATGGATGAGGCAGAAAAGCTTATAAATTTGATGGTTGAAAATGGTTGCAAACCTGATGTAGTTACTTACAACAGCTTAATCAATGGCTATTGCAAGGCTAAAAAGATTGACAAAGCTCTTGGTTTGGTCCAAGAGATGCATTTTAACGGATTAAGCCCTGATGTTATCATGTACAGCACTCTTATAGATGCCTTGTGCAAAGACAATCAACTCAAGCTTGCACACCAGTTTTTCGAGGATATGGAAGCTCATGGACTGAAACCAGATATAATAACTTGGAATTCATTCCTTGACGGCATGTGTAGGAATGCACAAATAGATAAGGCAGTTGCAACAGTGAAGGAAATGGAGACTACTGGAATGGTCCATGATATTTTTACATACAATATCCTAATGGATGGTTTTTGTGAAGCTAATCGCCTTAGAGAAGCGGTGGATATTTTCTCCTTTCTCACAACTAAAGGGCTGCATGATGTGTGTGCTTACAACATAATGATAAAAGGGTATTGTAAAGAAGGGTTGCTAGCAAAAGCCGATGAATTATTGAAGAATATGGAGGACAATGGATGCCTTCCAAATGAAGGCACCTTCAATACAATTATTAGAGGGTTTCTTGATGGCAAGGATGTTAGGAGAGCTTTAGAACTTGTCAGCTTAATGAGAATCAAACGGTTCGTTGCTGATAATCACACTATATCATCATTTGTGGGCTTACTCACTGATCCAACTATCAGTGATGCAGACATTATGAAAATATTACTTGCATGAAAATATTGGCATTATGCTCTAAACTCACAACTCTCATACTCTGGACTCTTTCTACAGTCTGCATTACGCTCAGTATTTTGTCTGGTTTACATCTATAGGCACTATTGCTGCATTAATATGAAAATAGAATAAGTATGAATGACTAACAATTTTTTTTTTTTTTTACCCTTTTGCTCTTTACAAGGGATGAGAAGGGGAAAACTGTGAAGTGAGGGCGCTGGAGCCTATTACATGGTGTTGTTTCAAGCTGGTGAGCCTATTACAATTTTTTTTTTTTTTTTTACCCTTTTGCTCTTAAATTATTCTCCTTTACCAGAGACTGACATATGTTTAACAAGGTTAGAAGGAGGCTTGGATGAAACAAAAACTGTTGGGTTTCTCAGCAGGCAAAAGCAAAATCAAAATCAAAACCTAAGGGGTTAAAGAACGCGAGGAGAGATCCCCTTAATTATGATTTTTTTTTTTTTGGATTCCTCTCATCCACAAAAACAGGTGGGTGTTTGTTTTTTATATTACTATTATTTATTTCCTGAAATGTTTTAGATTTGAAGAGGCCAATCAAATCAGATTAGTATAGTAAACACTTGAGCATTTTTAACTGTTTGATGCATTGTTGTATATACTTTTTTTTTTGTTATTCAAACAATTATAGAATTTTAATATAGGTATGCCTAAAGATCATACGTTCATACCATCTGTTCTTGCTCCAACATAAGGTAGTATGGGTCAATTTGAACCGCCTTTTTGGGTTTTTTTTTTTTTTTTTTTTTTTTTTTTTTTTTTGTTCTTGTGGGTGTCAAATAGCACCTTTTAATTTCTTTCTTTTTTTGGCTTGGTAATGTGAAACATTTGAATTCGGATTTTGAGTAATAAAGTGAAGGCTATGACAATCGTTAGAGTTCTTAATAGATGTCTGACAGGTTAGCTAGTGAATTTAATTTAGCTTTAAAAAGTTATTCAAAGTAATATTCCCTTGTTGGTATTCTGCAGGGATTCGAAGCTGGTCTGGTATCTTTCACCTTTGCGTTTGGAGGTGGAGAGTTTCGGTGGAAGCAACATGATTGAGTGGTTCAACAATTTGCGAGGGAAGTATAAGGATCCGCTTTGGTGGGACATTTTCTGGAGTATCTTATGGGGTATGTGGCTGCGTAGAAATTGGTGGGTGTTTGATGGCAAACGGAAGGAAATTGATGATCTTATTCATAAAGCCATTAGCATCGTGGGGGATTACGATCCAGGGAAATTATTTGCAGCAGTACAAAGGAACTGAGGCTACCTACGCCTTGAATTGCTCCTTGTTAAGGAGTGTACAAAGTAAACTCTGATGCGGCCATATTCAAGAGACAATCAGGTGGGATTAGGAGGTGTTACAAGGGACCTCCAGGTGGGATAATCTTGATTTTGAAATTGTGGAAGGCATGGCAATGAGGCATGCTTTGAAGATCACTATGGAAGCTGGTTTTGCGAGAATTTGCTTGGAGATTAGTAACAGCAAAGTGCATCAGTATTTGGCTGAGAAAAACGCTACTTCCAACGGTTTTTGGGAGCATTATTCAAGACATTTTGCAGCTTGCTAACGAGTGCCTTTTTTGTTCTTTTTCTTTTGTAAAGAGGGAAGGAGGTAAACCTGGGCATCGTGCCGGGCCGTGCCTGGCGGGCCACGGGCTCCGGCGTGCCGTGCCGGTCGTGCCGCCGTGCCCGGGAAGTCGTGCCGTGCTGTGCCGGCCATTCTCACAGGCCAGCCCATGGCCTGGCACGGCCCTTGTGCCTGGCGGGCTCGCGCCGTGCCGGCCTGGCGGGCTGGCAGTTTCCAGCCTTTTTTTTTTTTTTTTAATAAGTGACAACATTATAACTTATATTATAATGTATATAAGTTATAAAATTATAATTATAAGTTTTATAAGTTATTAAGTTATAAGTTTTATAATTATAAGTTGAATATTTATGTTTTATAATTTTGTATATTCAATATTTATATTTATATATTTACTTTATACTATTACTTTAAAATTTAATGTTTATGATTTATTAAATATAATTTTGTATTAGTAATTGTTATAATTTTGTTTTTTTTAATATGAATTTTCAAATTGTAACAAAACGGAGAAAAAAGGCAAATTGGACTTTGGATGTGAATAATGCGTACTTTATATTATTATTACTTGAGTTGAGAAAATTGTACATTGATAACAATGATAAAAATCGTACAATGATGGTATTAAACAAAAATTGGAAAATGATAAAATTGATATTTGATAATGATTAAAATCGTACAATATACAATAATTGTCTATTCTTCTTCTCCTTCCTCGTGTTCGTCTTTGTCTTCGCCTTCAAGGTCATCGGCTAGTTGGATAGATTGGGAACTAGCCGAACCTGAACGGTCGGAAGCGGAGGTTCCTTCTTTGTTGTCGTTGTCGTCGTAAGAACGGTCTTGTGAGCGATTTTCCGCATCCAACCAATCTTTGAAACACACGCACATTTCTAGTGTTTCGGGTTTTAGACTTGTTCTTCTATCGTCTAAAACCCTTCCGGATGCGCTGAAAGCTCGTTTGGAGGCGACGGAGGAAACTTGGACAGCAAGAATGTCTCGTGCCATTGCCGCCAAAGTTGGATGCTTCCCGGTTTGTTGTTTCCACCATGCAAGGAGGTCGAGGCTGTTTATCTCATCGTCGTCCATGCCTTTGGTGAAGTCGTAACTCAGGTACATCTGCAACTCCGAGACGTCGCTTTGCGTTCTCCTGATTGATGAATCACATGAAAACCTTGAAATCAAGTTAGTAGCTTGTGAAAATAAATGTTTGGCCTTCTTACTTACGTTTTTGGATGGCTGGGAAGGGCCTGAGCGAGGAACGGTGCCATATTTGGCTTCATAGACTCCATATAAAGCAAAAAACTGATCCTTCACAATACTCTTATACATTTCTTCATCATCGTCAAGATTCATGCATTGAAAATAAATGTCAACTAACATAAATGTGTTTTCATACTTTTGCCTAGGATCTAATATGGATGCAAAAATATAAATCAAAGGAATTTCACTATTATATTTACGCCACTTTGTTTTCATTGCTGGAAGATACTGATCATAATCACTTTGATTGCGATGATCAGCGAAAAGTTGGGCGAGTAAGCATGCATTAGAAAGAAAGTTTTGAGCACAAGGATTGTCAACAGTAGAAAAACAAAACGTCATGTTATATAATAACTGTAAAAATTGCATATATCTTTCACAGTTATACCAATCATCATCATAAAAAGCATTTTGTGGAAATTTTGGTTGTAAAATAATGTTAAGGGATTCTTGTACTCAATTGCCTTTGTTAACATGTCATAGGTGGAATTCCACCTAGTTGGGCAATCGATTTTAATTTTTATTACCCTTATCTTTTGTTGTTTTAGAAAACTCTTCCATTCTTGGTATCTGAGCTATTAATAGACATAATAGCATCTCTGATTTTGCTGTAGTATGGGCCAATTGCCCGAACTCCATCCTGTACACATAAGTTAAGTACATGGCAAACACATCTAGTATGAAGAGCTTCACCGTCTAATAGTACATCGGTTAAGTTTTGTTTGACAAGATTAGCTGTGTATGTTATAGAGGTTGCATTGTCAAAAGTCATTGACATCATTTTATCTCGAAGGTTGTATTCGTTCATTGCTTCCATTAAATGGTGAGCAATGTTAATGCCGGTGTGTGGGTATTCGAGCATTTTGAAATGTATTATTCTTTTTTGTAACATCCATTGATCATCTATCCAATGGCAAGTGACACATAAATAGTGATATTTATAACCACTATCCCAAGAATCGGCTGTTAAAGATACTCTACAGTTAAGGTTACTTAATTCGGCTTGTAACCGGACTTTGTACTCTAGGAAATTTTTCATTACGGCGAAACGAACGGTTTTCCTAGAGATTCTTTTATGTTGGGGTTGTAGTGCTTTGTTAATGTAGGTGTTGAATGGGTCACTTTCCGAGAAAAGAAAAGGTTGTTCGGCGTGTACTATCATTTTTCCTAGTTCATCCCTATCCCTCTCATAGTTGTAAGTAAAGCCGTATGGATGGTATTGGTAAATTTTTGGCTGGGTTGGATCACTAGCTGGTTTTGCACAAGCTTTCATGCGTCTAGTTAAGTGTCCCGTCCCAAATTTGGATACTGCCGAGAATACACCATTACATGTTTTACATTTTGCATATGTTTGGCCGTTTTTATTTAGGACGAAATGACGCCATACCTCACCCTTTCGGTTTTTCAAAAGTACCATCTCACTTTCGGTTAACCATTCATGATGTGTGTTTGGGTTAGTAGTAGTAGTAGAAGGGGTAGAATCGGGGGGAATTTGGGTACTTTCTTGGCTACTTTGGCTAGAATAATAGTTTTGTTGATCACCAAAATAATTAGGTGGGAATTGACCGAATTGAGGGAATTGTTGTGGATTTTGATATTGGTTTGATTGTGAAAATTGGTTTGGTGGTGGTGGTGGAAATCCCGATATATTATATGGCTCATAGCCCAGGGGGAAGTAAGTGGGGTCATTGGTTGGACTCGGAATTTGGGGGCTCGTTGTATTAGGTGGTTCCCTAGAACTACTACTACGGGCAAGTCGGTCTTTCCCCCTAGACCTAGATGATGGGTTGTTCGATGCCATAATTAACAATTAATTTTTTAATAAAAAGTGGTTAACTATAATAATAATAATTAATAACAACAATTTTAACAATAAAAATAACAATAATAATAATTAATAACAACAACTATAACAATAACAATAACAACAAAAATAAATAATAACAATAATTGTAACAATAATAATAATTAATAACAACAATTATAACAACAACAATAACAATTAACAACAATAATAATTAAACAAGATTATTCTAATAATAACAATAAAACAATAATAAATTAAAGATTAGTTTAGATCTTACAACCGTGCTTCAACGCTCCACTAATTACGATTACGAACTTTTTAATTTTTTCCGATATTAGGAAAATAATTAGAGAATTTAAGAGAATAAGGATTATTAAGAGAATTTAAGAGATTTAGAGAATATAAGAGATTAAGAGATAAGAAGAAGAGATTGTGATTTTGTGATTTGGGAATGAAATGGAGGTGGGTATTTATAGAATTTTTGTGGAGGTAATTGCCCAAAAACTAGCGATAAAATGGTAATATTACCGTTTTTTTTGTTTGGGCACGCGGGCCGTGCCGGGCCGGCATGAATGCCGTGCCTGGCGGGCCGTGCCTGCGTGCCGGGCTTGTGTTCGTGCCACGTGCCGGGCCAGCACGCCGGGCCCTGGCCGTGCTCGTGCTGGGAATAGCAGAACCTTGTCCGTGGCACGGCTCGTGGCACGAATCTCGATTTGCGTGCCGTGCCGGGCTAGGGAACGGGCCGTGCCGGGCGGCACGCGGGCCACCCCGGCCCGTGCCCAGGTTTAGAAGGAGGGGAATGTTGTGGCCCATGGCTTAGCAAAACTAGTAGCACTTTTGAATATCTTAGAGTTTTGTTGGAGGAATATCCTCTTGACATTTCTGAATCTGTTATGGCTGATTTAAGCCTGCTCTATCCTTAATAAAATCAATGTTCTTGCGTCCTCCAAAAAAAAAAAAAAAAAAAAGGTTTCCCATGTCCCATATCATACACGACATACTAATTTCTACTGATTATTTCAATACACTTGTTAACGCACCCATATTTTTACTACCTCTGTTTTACTTTATTTGCAACATTTACCATAAATTGATACTACTGTATAAATTAATTGCAACATATGTTTTCTTCGTATTTTTACTTGCTCCTTCATATTTCTTTTTATCTCTCTCTTTATTTAATCTCTCTATTTACCATTCACAAACAAAGTTTATCTAGATATCACATCATTACAAAAATAAAAATATAAAGGTAGTATAAATAACTACTGAGTTCTAATTTAGAAATACGTTTTAAAGATAAACCTTAAAACATCTTATATAATATGTAACGTTTTTTTTTCGTACATTGGTTGTAAAAAAAAACCACACACAATAATGTTCACGACACAATGTTACAATTACTGTATTACGGAGTACTCCGTATGAAACAACGGAGGAGTACAAGAATAAAAACCCAGATACTCTCAAACTCCACTCCACTCCACAGTCCACACTTGAGACTTGACCTTCAGAAATAAGAAATTTTTCATTTGGAGAAGGAAAACATACGGAGTAATTGGTTCCCCTCATGAGGAGGGTTTCATTCCTAATGTTTTATTTTTCTTACCTTTGTAAAATAAATAAATAAATAAACAAATGGTTTCAAAATTCCAGATGATGTCTCGATCTGTTATTGTTGGAGAAGCTTTTCTTCGTCCTTATAATCATGACAGCGCTTTTATCATAATCGTTGGTTTGTACATCCGGGTGTACCATGCGCATGGTACACTCAGATCAAAACTAGTTTAAAAAAAAGCGGAAAGAACATAACTTATATTTGTAATGAACATCACGACTTTATAAAAGAACACAACATTGAAGTATAAAGAACGTAGTAATTTTAATGATTTTTACCACGTATTTAATATCAAATCATTTCAAAATATTCTGTTTCAAAAAAAAAATATATCATTTCAAAATATTCAGTTTTCAATAATTTCTCTCTCTAAAATTATTTTTATGAAGATTTCATTTTCAAATTTTAAAATTTGAAATTCATTTTCAAAATTTCAAATTCCAATATTTTTTATTATGTTCTCTTTCTTATTTTAAAAAAAATATTCTCTAAATAACCAATTATATATTTTT